ACACATTGATATAATAGACATATTTACACTCCTCAAACTACATTATCATATAATAGTATAGACAGTAATACACTTCTCGTACTAAGCAATCATACAACATTGTAATAAACAGTATTACAAGCATCACACTATAAATTATACAGCATTATTATAGACAGTATTACTGTTACATAAGTCTTACAATACAATCATACATTGAGTAGAACCCGTTGCACGAAGTCATACAATATAGTCATACAGTGGTGTGAAATACACAACATACAATATAATAATTAACTTGAAGAAACAGCGCAACCATGCAATGATTTCAGTTGTAGTAATACATATCACAAGATTAATTCATACAATACAAACAATATTATGAATGGTAGTAAGTTGCACTAATCATGCAGCCCAATTGTGCAATGGTATAACAGGAAAGACGTAGGAAATGCTTGCCTACTAATATGAATACAAAAATATATGTATTTCATGTATTAATCTTGCTGAAGCGTGAGGTACACACAAATAAATTTGTGATCACATACATATTACTCAGTATACAACATTCAAATATCTAAGGATAAATTACATAATACTACTGTATTGAAGAATTTTAGTAATAATAACAATGGATTTTGTTCTAAAGTCCTCCAGTTCATATGGAGATAAGTTATAGTTGAAAATACCACCAAGAAGAACATGAAGTAGATGGAAATTAGACATTACATTAAGATAAAACACAAAATCTATATCTTTTACAGTACTGAGTACACACCAGAGCTGGTCACGTAATAGCTCTGTGTGTGAGCATTCGAGTACACTACGCATAATAGTATCTTTGTTCATAGATTTTCATTATCGCGTGTTGGAGTTTGTGCGCATGCGCTAGAGTGAGGATGCTTGCTTCTTAGCTCTTGTTAAATCTAACACCTTTATCATATTTTCAGCGATCAAACATGAAATCACGGACAAGGTATATTGATAAGGCGGTGTAGCAAGACATCATAGACGGTTCTATTAGACATGGTCATTTGACATTTCTTGCTGCTTAGTCGCTGTGACGGCAAATCCAAAATGGCGGCGTTTTTGAACATGTTAATTGCCACAGTATTCATCGTATATCAAGTGTCAATGAAAGAAAGTGTACTTGTAAACTCATCGTTGCCAAAAACCAGCATATGGCAAAAGAATTATATCAACCCAAAATACTTAAGAGAGTGTGTTATATTCTCATTTAATGTAAAATACACACGTGCAAAGAAACTAGCATATACCCGGCAACAACGTTTCCATATCCAAAACACTCCTGGTAAACGAGATGTGCTACCATATATAGCCATGCTCCTAATTATTGTTGCAAACGACAATAACTTCAATCCAGGACCTACGAACAACGCTAGTGAGTCTATCTATCCATGCGGGACCTGTGCTTTGCCTGTAACATGGGATGACAAAGGTATAGTGTGCGACACGTGTAATTCATTGCCAGTCTATGTCATCCACTTTGTATGCGGAACATGTAGACCACTCTGGTATAGCATAGGACTGTCTTGCATGTGATTCTCCAAATTATGCCACATACTGCTTCTCAACAACATCAAGTATAAGCATTTCAGTCCACTAGCAGACACCCCACTGGTGAGTTCAACAATGCCAGAAAATGTCCTACCAAAACACTAATCTACTCCAATTAGAGAAAAACATAATCCTAGTAAAGCAAAACAACACCTAAGGATATTGACCGTAAATTTCCAGTCCATGAAAACAAAACAACACCAAGTTGAAAACCTTGTTGATAGCAGGAAACCGGATATAACTTTCGGTACTGAAACATGGATAGACAGTAGTATAGAAAACTCACAAATACTACCACCAGGATATGACGTTTATAGAGGAGGGGTGTTCATAGCAGTAAAGGACACATACATTTCATCACTAGTCCCAGAATTACAAACCGATTATGAGATTGTTTGTTGCAAACTCGAACTTGCGGGACATAAGACTGTATATACCTTTCATGCTATTACAATCCAAAAACATCAAATGGGGACAGTATACACCAACTAGGGGTACGTTTAGTAAGATCGACAAGGATTAACAATGCTCTAGTAATAAGGGCAGATGCCTTTAATCTACCAGATTGGAACTGGGAGGAAAACAACTTGAAACTCAATACTCAACATCCAAGTATACACCACAAGTTCCTGGATTTCCTAGATGACAATGGCTTAAGGCAGATAGTTGAAGAACCAACTCGAGGACCGAATACTCTGAACCTCATCGTCACAAATAATCCTACCTGCTTCCGCCGGGTTGAGATCATACCGGGGATATAGTCTGACCACGGCATCGTGAACAGCGAGTTGGATCTCATACCATCAAGAAATCTAAAAAAGCCTAGAAAGATTCCACTCTACAAAAAGGCGAGGTGGGACAATATAACATCAGACCTGAAGGATATTAAAATTACTGTTGATGACATGAGCAAGAATGGCAGCTCAGCTGAAGACATGTACCAACACTTCCAAACA